ATAGCACTTATAATAAAAAACACTTATTATTAATACTATTATTTATTAAAATCAATTAATTAGTAATTTTACTACTTTACTCTTTTATAAAAAATAAAAATATTTATTAGTATTACTTTGTATTAATTATTATTTATTTTTTTATTTTTCTTCTATTTTTTTAATTTATTATTATTATTAAAAGTTAATTAGTAGTTTTGTTACACTATTTTTTAAGTAAAATAAAACTTATTATTATTTAAAATAAAACTTATTACTATTATAATTAAAAACAATTACTAGTACTTTTACTATAATTTTTTGTCATTCCATGTTGTTTTTCACATTAGTCACGTACTAGTTAGCCGCCATAATAGTGGGTAATGTAGAAAATGAGAAGACTTGGGATAAGAATAAGACGGGTGCCTCTGGAATTTTTTTATAGATAATGTACAACGATAAAAATGATGTTAAATTTCATATTAATATAATGAATTAAGACGTACTCCGTATAATTTATAACCAAGGAAATAAATAATCTTTTTTATAAACTATCTTTTTTATAAACTATACATAAATATATTACTAAAAGTAATTTTTAACTAAAGGTTTAAAATAATTTAACCTTTTTTATGCAAGTGAAAATTGGGAATTGGGAAAGGTCAATGTGGGTATACAATTGTTTTTTATGGGGTTTTATGTTTAATTTGCTAAAAAAAGTTAGAGTAGTGAAACTAATAACGACTAAGTAAAATGATAAAAATATTTTATCATAATTATTATAAAATATAATAAAATAATACAATAATCATAATTTTTTGTGAAAGTTTGTACCATATGTTCTTTTCCTTAATGGGAAAACAAGGATTGAAAGTATGCACTTCTTATGATAACTCTTAAAATGGAAAATGCATATTTTATTTTGAGACAAAAGAAAGTAACATAAACGATCATTATACATACTCTATATTCATTTTGTAATGCCCTTTTGAAGAGAAGCTTTATCTTAGATCTTTTCATATATTTTTTTAAATGTTAACCTCGATCAATACTATAGTAAGAAAATATATATTTATTTAGCTCATCTGAAAGTTCATCATGTAGGATCAAAATTTGCTATTTTTGAAATATCGTATTTTTATAATATGTACTTTAGTATTTATATATAAATATAGGTATTGATGGACAAATAAAGTATTGAAACAAGAGACGAGTTACTTTTAGTAATAAATTGAAGTGAAATTTACACTAAATAATAATACTCCCTCTGGTCCAAAAAACATTTCATATTTTGATTTTTTGGGTCAAATAGTGACACCTTTTGACTACAAATTAAACATGATAAATAAATGATATAAAAATTGATATATCAAAATTATATCCTAAGATGAACCCCATTTTATCGAATTTATATCATAGTTAAATATACTTTTTACACAATTTGTGGTCAAAAAATGATATTATTTGACCAAAAAAGTCAAAACATAAAAGGTTTTTAGAATTAGAGGGGGTATTTAAAAATATGTTTTTTCCTAATGTAGCAGCTAAAACTTTTTATTATTCTCTAAATAGTACTTGAACAATATCCAGTGGCGGAAACAATGTCTAGTAGCCATACTATATTAGAAATTAAAACATACTTCCTCAGTCACATAAAGATGTTCATATTTTGACTTTTAGGAATTTCAAGAGAGATAATTTTGTGTTAACTTTTCAATTTTTTTTTTGATGTGATGGGTAAAATTAGAATGTGATGAGCAGATTATTAGTAAAAGGTATAGGTTAATGATTAGCAAGGACAAAATGTTTTTTTAGTAAAGAAGAGGAGTTTGTGGGACAAGAAAAGAAAGAGAATATAATACTACATTGGAAAACTCACAATATTTTTTAGTACTCCGTATTATATAAGTAAGTTTCCCTAAATTAAATTGAAAATTGAATTGAAAGAGAACAAAATGAGGGGAAAAAATAGAAAAAGAATGGACCAGAGTTTTTATCCAATGAAAGTTGAACTCGTCTTCCTTGGTTGAAGGACGTGACATGATCGTTCCCCCATTCAACGGAATAGTTCTCATCAAACGGGACATCGCCGGCGCCATTTCCGCCGGCGGCCACCGCCGATCCACCACTTTTTAGCACCACCAAAAATAACACGCCCAACAACTCCATCATCATCTTCATGCATATATATACTCCGTAATTAACTACTTTTGTTATTATTATATAGTAGTAGTTGTGTATATATTTAATTACAAACCCATTAAACATATTACGGAGTACTATATATATAAACACATACTACGTATATTCGTTACTCCGTCTTGACTTTTCACGGTCTCCAATACAATATTTTGATCATTAATATCTTTACTTTTATATAATTATATATTACAAAAATAAAATATTTCAAAACTATATTTCAAAATTTAATTGATATTAAATTTATATTAAAATTCAATTTTTTTTGTAATATGCGGTCAAAGTTCAAACAGTTTAACCACAAATTTCAAATTGAGAAATTAATTTTAGGACAGAGAGAATATATTTTACTAACTATAATCAATTAAAGTTTTATGTTAGAGACATACTCCATCCGCCTTAAATTAAATTGCATGTTTAATATTTACATTGTCAAATTTTATTTATTTTGATTCTTTACTTTTGTTAGTCATGTCACCACTAGTTTTCTAGATCTTTTTGTATAGTTTTTAAATGTATAATTTTTATTTTTTAATTCTACATTGTTTTTCATATATTATGATTTGAAAATAACTTCAATCAAATATTATAAACGGAAACAGGCGATTTAAATTAAATAGGATGAATATATTATTACACAACTTGACAACTAAGAGAGAAATACTAAAGTAGGACTAAAACATTGAAAAATATACTAAAATAGGACTTACATTACCAAATATGGTCATATACATTACCAAAAAAGTATAGTAATTTGCACATGTGCACTGCCACATTACCACAATGCAAAGTCACATTACCACAGTGCAATGTCCTATTCCAGGGAAAAAACATGAAAGTCCTATTTTGATACTTTTTCTCTATGTTTTAGTCCTATTTAGGATGATTTCTAGACAACTAATATCCCTCACGCCGCACGTAACGGACTGCTCCCATGCATGCATGTTGTATGAACCCCATGCTCCCATCCAACCCCCCATTCCGTATATATTTTTTTTGCATATTTTAATGGATCATTTCATAAAAAAGTAATTAAATTATTACGTGTGATTTACTTCATCCGTTCTTAATAACTCTTCTTGTTTTGAATCTTTGTCAAACAATGACACTCGTTGATCATTAATTGTGAAGAAAACTATATTAAATAATTATAATATAAATGCAATATAATTAGGCTCATCTTAGCTTATAATTTTGAAATATCAAACTTTTATAATAGTTGTTCATTTAGATTGTATTTAATTTGTGGTAAAGAGATGTTATTTTTTTTTAACTAAAAAAGGTAAAAAAATGAAAAAAATTTTGAATCAGAGGGAGTAGAATTTTTGGTATAGTTTTTTCGGCCCGGTTCCATAGCCACTGGAATCCAGTGGCCATGGAACCGGGCCCTAGTTTTTTTTAGTGCTATTGGTGTAGTTTTTATTTTGAAGAAAATACAATTTTCTTTAATTAAAACGGATGAACCATAAAGTCCGAAGTTGAACCACAAAGAGAAATCTCCAACACATTCACATATAATGTTTACAATCAAGAATAATATATAGGAACTATAATTAATTATGCTAATAAGCAAGATATGATGGGAGGCAAGGAGCTGGGGTTGGGCTATGTGTAATTAAACGTAACGACGGAGGAAGAACCTGCATGGGTAACGGTATACACGTACTCTTGGAAACTAAACACACAACACACAAATATCTGCAAGAATCGAGAGAGGCAGAACACAACCGATACACAAGAATTTTAACGTGGTTTGGTTTTCTTAATCCACGATTGGTACAAGAGAAAGTTTACTCACTTGTGGTGCCAAAGGTTACAAGTACACATGCTCAATATATAGGGAGAAACCTAGGGCTACGAAACTTGTTGCCCAAAAAATTGAAAAAGGCTAACAAATAAGACGGGCCAACCCTGGTCAGCTCCGAACAAATCTAGTCTCCACAAGCCCAACAATCTCCCACTTGGAGGCTTGATAATCATCAACTGTCATCCGCCATGAACGCTCATACATCTAGTAATTTTTCTCAGCTCTCCAGCGGCTAGGGATGGCAATTCAATCCGAACCCTATCTTAACTGACCCAACTGAACACTAAAATATCCAAATCCGACCCGATTTTTTTTACCCGAACCCGACATCAGATCGGGTCGGGCGTGGGTTTATAACTTTACCCGACCCAAACCTGAATATTTATAACCTAAAACCTATCTACAAATATAATAAGCACTCTGTATAATCTCTTTATTTTCAATCCTCTGGTGCAACCGCATCTCTCTTGGTCCTTACATCGCATCTCTGTGTGTGTCCCATTCTTGTATGGCTCTTCCTTCTTTGCATCTCTGATTTGTCTACTGTCTTGTTTGCATTTCTAGCCACACAAACATCTTGACAAGGTGGTACCATACAGTGGCGGAGCCAGGGAAGACTTCATGGGGGGGGGGCAAAAATTCTTTTAATAAATAAACAAAATTCAGAATAGTAACTACTTTAATTGGCAAAGTGCAACTACAAACAATATGCTCTATCCTTGGTGACACTATACTCCAACCAGTTAAACTTAACAAACCAATAACTTTGAAATCGTCTTTTGTTCTTGCCCGTCATACTTTGTGGAAATTTATCCATCGATGGCTTACAAGGACCTTTTGCTAAGTATCTTCTCCTTATTACATCTCTAATTTCCAATGGATAACTATTAATGGGTTTTCGTAATTCCGGATCAGCATTAATATCATCATTTGAAACCACACTTTCTTTCTCTATAGAAGAAGAAGCTTCTTTTTCATTGTCTCTATCACTTACAAATTCTAAATTCTTCTTTTGTCTAACAACAAATTTATCCATCTCACATCTCAAAATTTCCTGATTCAATAATAAAGTAACGAAATAAAATATGAATAACTTTAAAACAACAATTTCATATTTCTTAATCTCTAAAACTTGAAATTACATTAACATTTATCAAATATTTAAACAAACACACTAGAACCACATAACAAAATAAATATTCAAAATTCAAAACATAATTTAGCAATATTCAAAAATTTCAAATATTAAGAAACAAATCTCAAAATTAGATAATTAAAATTTAAATATACCTAGACAACGAGAGAAGATCCGAAGATTGGATGAAGAAGCACAGAAGAAGGGCTCAAAATTGAAAGAATTCAAAAATCCTGTCCGTCGGATTTCTTTTGCGGTTCTGCCTTCGTCCAGTTCGTCGGTTTGGTTCTGCACTTCTGCAGCTCTGCCTTCTGCTACGGAATAAGCCGATGATGGCGATAAGGGCCTGAGGCAAGAATGACTACTCCGTATTTTTTATGGGGCAATTGGGCTACTAGAGTACTGGGCCGTGTAGTGTTGGGTTGTGTCAAGGAAATTATTTAAAACCCAATCTTAAAACAACGTCGTTTTGAGTTTTTTCCTTCGGGGATCTGCTTCTTCTTCCTCTGTCGGCTCCCATCGCTGCGACAATGGGGGGGGGGGGGGCAAATCCAGCCTCCATCACCGATTGGGTACCATATTCCTCCATCGCCAGAATTTCGCCGGGGGGGCACTTCCCGGGCATGCCCCCCTCCTCCGCCCCTTGTACCATACCAAGCATGCCTTTTATAATTATTTTTATAATTCCTCAATCAAAAAATGAGATAAAAAAGAGAGAGACAAAAGAATTTTGATTTATTCCTTTTAAAATTCTTGGGGTACGTCGAATCGGTTCCGATTAAATTACAGATTCAGGTTTGTGTTCGAGTTTGGGTTCGGATTTTGGGTTTAAATGCTGGGTTCGGGGTCGGGTTTTTGGTTTAAAAGTCTCGTTTTTGGTTTAAAATTCGGGTTTCGGGTCAGGTTCGTGTTTCGATTTTAAAAGTCAGGTCAGGTTCGGGTATAGTACTATCCGACCTGAATTTGACCCGTTATCATCCCTATCTGTTGCAGCGACCCTCTCTTTAGATGACCGAAAGGCTCATTGAAGCTCCCCAGAGCTCCAATAAATCAGTCATGGCTAAAGATGCCCCTGACTTGTCCTTGGTCCCTACCGGCTCCCACTATAGACACGCGATGCGGGATCTTGGAATGCCCTAAGAACAAACACTCCATACTCAGGAAGAAATTTTCTGGATGTGTATCATCAGCAGGAACATTGGTTCTCCAGACCCACTATCGTCTAAGAACATTGGATTAAACACGAACCGTGCTCCCATAGTCCCACTAGCTACCACAAGCTCCTTTGATTAGTCTCCCTGAACCTTTCTTCGCTCGTTCATCCTGAGTCTGACATGTGGCTTTGGGTTTCTCTCTTGTATATGCAACCTTTTTCTACCCGGAAGACTCTGTGAATCGGACTTTTTTATCTTCTGAACCGAGACGGTCAATCCCTCATATGGTAACTTGACCATATACAACGAACCTCTCTTCCTTCTGTGGGCCATGACAAGATTTTCCTTCAAGACCTTCCATTGTCTGTCTCTAAACGTTACATCGTGTCCTTCTTTAACCAACTGCCTAACAGAAACCCATTTTTTCTTCAAAGATGGAACCACTTTGACACCCTTCAAAGTCTAGAAAACGACTGGGGTTTGAAACACCAGGTCACCCATGTTCATCACATCAAGAGCTCTATCTTCCGCTAGTCGTACCTTTCCAAAGTCTCCATTAGCGAGATTCTACAATGCTTCACTGCTGTGGGTAGCATGAAAGGAAGCACCAGAATCCATGACCCAGGAATCCACATTACTCTTCGCGCAACAGATAAACTAATCTTCGTCACTCGCAGAGTCTTCAGCAATGTTCACCTGCTTATCCTCTTCCAGACACCGATTCATGAAATGCCCCACCTCCTTGCACTTCCAACATGTTACACTTGAGCTATCCTGAATCTTAGACTGGCTCATCCTTCTGTTCATGCTCTCATTACCTCTACTTTTTCTTCTACCTCTAACAACATTGAGAAATTCACCCGAAGACTCCCTTGAACTCCTCTTTCAGACATCCTCGCCAAGAACGAGATCACGAATCTGATCGAAGGTGAATCCATCTCGTCCCACGGGACTGGTAACTAATGTAACCGTTCCAGACCAACTATCAGACAAAGATGATAGTACTAGCAAGGCTTGAACTTCCTCATCGAACCTAATTTGTACTGATGCAGGTCTGGATAAGTTTGAATTCAACTTATTAATATGCTCGGTAACTAAAATGTCTTCTTTCATTCTTGTATACACCAACTCTTTAATAAGAAAACCTTATCCGCTACAAATGGATTTTCGTACAAGTTATACCACGCTTCCATAGTTCCCTTCGATGTCTTCTAGCTCCTTCAGAATGTTGAACACAATATTCTTGGTCAACGAGAGTCGGATCACAGACATTGCTTTCCGATTCAAACCTGCACAATCTGCATCCGACATCTTTTCTGATTTGTCTCCTAATGCCACATCCAAATATTTTTGAACCAGCAAATCTTCAATATGCATCTTCCACTAACTAAAATTTGTACTATCAAATTTCTTAATTTGGAACTTCACGTCTTCTGCCGTCTCAAACAACTAGACGAGATACTATACCTAGTACAATTGATTTCAGATCTTGGTAATTTATTCAGAAAACTAGACCCACCAAACCAATTAAATTAATTCAAACCAAATACAAACACAATCAATCTAATCAACCCCAAAAATCAAGCTGAAAAGAAAAAAACTGGTGATGGCGTGAGCACGGGCGAAATTGCGCCATGAGAGTGACAACAAATTTGCAATCTGTCATTTCCACCCATGTTATAAGATCAATAGTGTACTTTAATTTGTTTGATAGAGTAAGATACTATCTTTGGTGAGCTTCACTTTAATGCCCTGAAAAATTAAAGAACACCGAGATCTTTGAGACGACAATCTTGGTGCATTAGTGCATGGTCTGCGTAATTTCAGAAATAAAAGATTGAGAGTTTCCAGTGATGATTGAGTATCTCTTACGAAGAAAGAGAAAGTTGGGGTGGGTAAAAAACAAGTTTAACTTGGTACCATATCGGACAGTAATGGTACCGAATTGTTTCTATGATTTTTAAACAGGTTTGATTTTTCCATCTCGAACCGAAACCAAACCGATATCCAACAAGACCGTGATACAAAAATTTAAACTCATTTATCACAAACCGAACAATTTAAAACTCTCTACGGAGTATGTCAAATATTTATTTGTCCACTTCATCTTACCATATATGAAGTACTTCGTATTGAATTATTCTTTTTTTAATATTATTTCATTATTATTGTTTTTATTATATTTATTACTACTTATGAGCATCATTTTTTAGAGTTAATAATAATATGGTATTGTATGAATTGAAAAAAAAATTATTTTTTAAATTTAGAGTTGTTATCTTTTTCTTTATGTTTATGACCTTTTTAAATTTGAAATTGTTACTTTTTTTTAAAACAAAGTTGTGCTTTTTATATAAAATTGTGTTTTTACTTTAATACTTTCTCCATTTGCCAAAACATTACCTATTTACTATTCAAGGCATTACGATAAGTTTTATATGCATGTTTTTTACTTACTCGTCATTTTAAAAAAATATTTTTCTCATAATTGTTTATAGAATTTTTTATGTTGGGTGTAGAAACCAAATAGAAAGTGTTTTTAAAAAATGGAGGGAGCATTACTTGAGTTATGCATGTTTAATTTTTTGGCACGATTTAAGCATGAGTATGATATTGTATTGTTTCAGTTTAAAATGGAATGGTACCGAATGGTTTTGGAACTCATCCCGTACCGATATCAAACCATTTCAATAAAAGCGATCCGTGATAAGTTCCGGTAGTATCACGAACTATGCGCACCCTTAAGAGAGGGTATATGAGATAATGATGGGGTGAGTAAGGCGTCAAGAAATAGGGTGAGTAGAGGATAACTATGTAAGATTACAATAAAAGATTTACGAGGTAAAATAGCATTTTTTTTAAAATCAATTTATTTAAAAATTAGTATAAAAATAATTAAAAGAATTTACATATTTAAATACGTTTAAAGTTTGAGAAAACAAGAGGTGAGAAAAATATTTTATTTTATCAAATAATTAATGAAAATACACAAACAAACGAAAGTTACTGAGAGGTACGTCTCAAAAAAATTATAATGCAATTTGGGATAAAGGAATTTCTTCTAACACCGGATGAATAATTAGGTCTTCATGACAATTTCTTCTAATTGTGTGTTATGAATAGTCTTCTTAATTATTTGAAAAATTGATCAGGACCAGAAAATATTCCAATTAATTGTAACATTAATGTTTTTGAATTCACTAGATATTACATGCGGCCAAATATGATACAAAACTAAATTAGGTTCAAATGACTAATAATCTTGATGGAGATATCGGACCTAGAACCAAGGCCTATATTGTATGAGCTTGGAAGGAGCATGCAAGGCCCATAAGTAAGTGAAGTTAAGGCTCCAAGCTCGACCTCGTCCCTCTTAATTTAAGCTCGGCCTTGTCCCATTCAAGCTCAACTTCACCACTCACGGGCTCAACAACTGAGCTCATTGACATCAGGTCTTAAGGGAGAAGGAGTCGAGCTCGGCCATCATGAGCATGCTAAGGGTCGAGCTCGACCACCAGCACAACATGGGCACGCTCGGCCATCACCACACCAGAGAGAGTTTGGCATGGTCGGGCATTGGACGAGCTCACCACCAATCAACTCCCCGTGGTCAACTCCTCATGAACAATGAACTGACCCCAGCCATGCGAATAATCCTCAATTCTGATGAGAAAGGGACATGTCATAGTATAAGTCAAACGTAATTAATGAACCCACGTGGTTGTTGGCCCCCAACCAATTACTTGTATTGTATAAATAAGCGTCCTCCTTCAATATAAAAGGGGATCTGATCGAATTCTGAGTTATTCGATTGATATTACGAGCTTTATCTTTATATAGTTTGTACTATACCCATCCTTAGAATCCATCGAGTGGTGTTCTCATTGAGAGGGTTGAACACAATAAAGAAAAACCCTCCCATCAACAACCATATTTTTCATCAAATCATACATTCATATGTAGTAGATTTTCTGAGCCAACAAATTTCTACAAAGGCTATGCTAGTGTATTGACTGTCCAACTCAGACAAACTTACTTGACCAATGTTGCAAGGCTAGATTGCACGATATCAAGGATGACAGATATTTCTACCGCGAAATGTCATACACTAGGACCCACCGGCAGATGGATATCGGAGGTGCTCGCCGGCGACATCTTTCCAGGTCTACCACCCTTTCTAGACTTGGTTATCATTCCAGTTATCAATGAGATAATTGAATATTGGACAAGATATTTTACTATGTGTACATTATTATACTCGTTTCTTTTGTTCCCTAGCATCTCGTTGTCATATTTTATGCTAACATTCATCTTATAGTAAGTAGGTTTCATTCATAGGATGTGAATTCCTACCTTAGTCTATGGCATTTCAATGTGCACAATAATCAACAACAATTCACACTTTAGCAGAGACATTCCAATTGTAAACTTCACACAGATATTCAAGCAATCAGCTCTGTTACAACCATTTGAGAAATAAACTCAACACAAAGAATTCAAGTATTCAGCTCCATACAAACACTTAAGCGATAAGACAATAATTTATTACCTCCTTGGAAGAGATGACGTGAAGGATGCGGATGAAAAACGTGGAAATAAGTCTTGCCATTGTTAACATTATCAAAATAATATTATTTTCACTTATTTATTTTTGAAGCAGTACTTTGTAATGGTCCGAAGACCGATCTTAAAATCATATACTCCGATACCAAAATGTAACGCCCTAACCCACCTAACCCAAATGCATAGGTTAGTGAACCAGGTTGTTACTAAATTGGTATCCACATACAATATTTTCCAAGAATTAAAAACATTTAATTCAAAACCCAAACAATTTAAAACCAGTTAATTATTAATCAAAGTTATAAAACAATGTGGAAGCTATAATTTAATCAAATATCAATCTCTTTAAATCCTTGCATGCGTACATCTCCTCTGTTATGCTGCCCTCTAGGATGGATTCCAAAGTCAACCCTTCCACGATTACCTATGTGTAACAAAGAGAAAAAAGGGTTGCACGCTCAGCAATGAAGCTGCGTGAAAAATATCTAACATCCGAACATTCAGATAGGCAAATCGACTAATTCATAACGATTGAATGGTATCATGCACACAAGCATATCTTATATAATATCACCATTATCACATAACAATGTTCATCATTAACAAATATAGGATATTACCTTCTCGTTACTTGTTCACCTGACTTGATCTCTTTATTAACCTATGCTAGGTTAAAGCTTATACTAACTCTGATTTTATCTACTTACTGGGTACATAACCTATTCTAGGTTCAGGCTTATCTTTAACACTTTCCTATGAGAGTCATGACCCTCCCCTTCGGAACGAAGGCCAAGCTCAAACAAACTCTGGAGTTCCTTGTTAGGTGGGTGAGTTCCCTGTCTCCTTCGGAAAAACAGTTCATAGATCCCATGTGTGCACGTCTTTACCCGAATAACCATTGGATCTAGCAGGTACCACATGGCTCTAATCTACTATACTTATGGCATACGTTACCACTAATCCATTCAGGTCATTCCCTAGAGTTCCTCTAGGTGATATGTTCAACATCTATTAACACTTCCATGATACAATAGTCGTAAAACAACATTGCATTACACAATGTTTCGGAATCAATACTCGATAGAAACACAACTGATAGACCCGAATCAGGTACTAGACGGTACCTATCTCGGTACAGGATACCGTCCCTATGGTACCTGGGTAATGACCCCACGATATGGGGGTATCGTCCAAACCACTTACCTTCTGGTAGGTCTATCACGGTAGCCAAGTACCGACCAGGCGGTAGGGCCTACCACCCGTCCGGTACCTAGGTACCGGACGATCACAGCTACTCGCAGAGCAGAGAGGGACGAACAAAGTGTGGCAGTAGCACGATACCGTCTCGGCGGTACCGCCTAACGTCTGACGCGACAAATCATAGTTTCTGCACCAATTCAACCCTATCAACGAAACCAATACCAAATTCACACCGACATGCATCAATACATACAATTCCCGAAATCATGCATACTATTCTTTTTGGTTTAATGATAACAATTCCCGAAATCAGAACCAACAATTACACAGATAAGTCACATAGATCAACTACGATAAAATTTATGAATGGAATTTTCAAACTTAGATGCATATTCTAGTGTTAGATATCCACGTACTCACCTCGATTATTCGATTCAATTTGAAAGAACATCGTTCAAATTTCATTGTCGGAGCAGATTTGTCCCACTGCCCAAATCTGTTTGGGGCATCGACAATTCTTTCAATATCAACAATGTCTCTAGTTGAGTCTGTAACGCCCCGAAATCTGGCCCAAAAGAATTAATTAAATTGTTAGAGCAATTGATTACGAATTGGGCCCAAAAAGGGGTTAAAATTATAATTTGGATTCTAAGCCCAAATTTTATGTCATCTCGTAGGAAATATTTTTGTGATCGCGTCGGTTCAGACGGCTCGCGAATCGGAGTTATGGAGCTCATGTTATGACCATTTAATCAGGTATTTTGGGTCCGAAGCCCAATCCTTTTAGGAATGGGACCATTAAATAAACCTAAACCTATCTTCTTTCCTTTCCTTCGGATCTCTGAGAACCGCACATCCTCATCTTCTTCTTCTTCTTCTTCTTCTTCTTCTTCGATTGCCGCCGTGAGCCAGCCGCCGGTCGTCCTCCCTGCTGTTCGACCACGCCGGCGTCGCCCGAGCCAGACGCCGTTCTTCGCCGGTCATCCCTGCCGTCCGACCTCCGCCTCCAACGCCGCTGCCTTTCCTTCGTCAGCTCCGCCGACGACGGTCTCCAATCGCCGCTGTTTCGCCTTCGCCGGAAGTCCACCGCTCATCACCGTCGAGCGCCGCTGTCGCCCTTAGCTCAGGTCAGTTTCTTCTTCTTCTTCAGTTTCCTATTTCGGTTTGTCTCTATCCCCTCGATTTTGAACAAGGTAGACCGCCAACAGCTGCCGCTCCGCCACTGTCGCCGGCGCCCGTCACCGTCGCCGCATCTAGCCGCTGCCCCGAGTTGATATCGCCGGCAGATTAACCTCCACGCCGGATTGATTGGTCGATTTCGTATTTTGACTCAATTTGACCCGTTCGTTTGATTTCGTTGATTTGTCCTCCGTTCGAGCTATCGATTCGATTTCGGCGAAATCCAGGTCCGTACTATGAAGTTAATAGCGTTTAGAATAGATTTAATGGTTCGGATCGTTATATATGTTTATGCTATAATTTGGCTAAATTGGTTAATTGAATTAAATTGATTACTTGAATTGAATTGTTGAGGATTATGGATTAACCGAGCAGGTTTGACTTTGACTCGGGTTAGGTCACGTTTGACTTAGGCTTTGACTGGATATTCTGTCGACGTAGGTTTGACCGAATGGTTAAATCCAAGACTTTAATGAATTAGTTAAGTTAATTAATTAATTCTAATCGGTGATTAAGGTCAATTGGTTTATT